AACACATGCATGAAAGAAAAAACATTGAAATACATATCTAAGGGTTCATTTTCCTGACATCACATTATCTGACCTTTTCCGCTTGACTCATAGATATACTAGATATTGCAAATAAGGGAAACCATGGGACCGGCATTTTTTTCAATGTTAATAATTTGCCTGATTCATTTTAGTAGGGTTTGGCGTATACAAAAATGAATCTAAGCCGGGCACTGGTGGCTCATGCTTGTAATCCTAGCTACTCAGGAGGCTGAGATCGAGGATCGTGGTTCAAAGGCAGCCTGGGCAGAAAAAGTCCATGAGACTTTTATCTCCAATAAACCACTCAGAAAACTGGAAGTGGCACTGTGGCTCAAGTGGTAGAGTGCTAACCTTGAGCTAAAGAGCTGAGGGACAGTGCCCAGGCCCAGAGTTCAAGCCCCACAACTTACCAAAAAAAAAAAAAACAATCTAGTTTTGGCAGGGCACTGGTAGCTCACTTCTGTAATTCTAGATACTCAGGAGGGTGAGATCTGAGGATCATGGTTTGAAGCCAGCCCAAGCAGGAAAGTCCATGAGGCTCCTTTGTCCAATTAACCACCGAAAGAGCTGGAAGTAGAGCTGTGGCTCAAGTGGTAGAGTGCTAGCTTTGAGCAAATAAGCTCGGGGACAATACCCAGGTCCTGAGTGCAAGCCTCAGGATTGCTTAGGAAAAAAAAAAGAGAAAAAAGATTTCTAGTACTGTATTTGTCAATCAATTGTTTTACAGTTTGTGGTTGAATCTTCTCCCACTTTATTTGTACAGCTTTCAAATAATTTTGTGAAACATACCACAATACTAATTTTTATCACAATATTAACATTAAACTGACCATATTCCCTAATGTTTGCTATAATTCTATCAAAATTCTAGTAGCATTTTTTCACAGAAATAAAAGCATCATCCTAAAATTCATATAGAGCCACAAAAGACCTCAAATAGCCCACACAATCCAGATTGAAAGAACAAAGCCGATGCCACCACACTACATAGTTTTGAAGCCTACTACAAAGCCATAGTAACAAAACCAAGTGGTCCTCTTCCAAATGGAGATATACAGATGAATGAAACAGAGCAGGGAGCCCAGGAACAAATTGACACTTGAATCAACTATCTTTGGCAGAGTTGCTAAAAACACAAATGGGCAAAGGAGTCTTCAAGAAATGACATGGGGGAAATTGGATCTCCACATACAGAAGCATGAAACTAGAACCTTATTTCACCCTTAATAAACACAAAGTTGACTAAAGGCATAAAGTTAGACCTGAAACTGTATGCTGCTAAAGGAAAACTAAGAGAGAAAACTTCTTGACATTGTTCTGGCTTTGAATATCCCTTCTTGTATACAACTCTCAAAATCCAGGTGATAAAACAAAAAAATAGACAAATGAGATTGCATAGAACTAAAACACTTTTGCACAGTAGAAGAAACAGTGAAGAATATAAAGAGACAGTGTACAGAATAGAGAAAGTGTTTGTGAACCATATGTCTCACTCCCCAAATATATTAGGAACTCATGTAATTCAATAGCAAGGAAACAAAGACCCTAAGGAAAATGGGCAAAGGAGGCATTTTTCACAAAAGAATGTAAATGGCTACAGGTATATGAAAAAAATGCCAACCACACTCATCATTGGGAAAAGACAAACTAAAGTCACATCTATGCTGATGGCTGTATCATGATAACAAATGGGAAGTGTTGGACAGGAGGCAGACTAAAGGAGTACTTGTGCATTACTCTTGAGGGTGTACACTGGTGCAGCCATTATTAAAACAGCATGGAGGTGCTCCTGCCCCAAAGAATTACAGTACAGCCTAGCGGTCTCACTTCCAGGTATACATCCAAAGGAAATGGCATCAACCCTTAGTAAAGGGTTCACAGCAAGATTATTTACATTACCCAGACAACCTAATTGTCCATCATGAATGAAAAGATTATGAAAATACGGTTATCGACACACTGGAATAGCATTTAGCCATACAAAGGAAGGAAGAATGACCACTTATTGTAGATTGGTGAACCTGGAGCCAATTATGTGCAGGGGAAGGAAGCTAGCACCAAGGAACAATGCTAGTAACCTCCCTTATTCCTAGAAAATAAGGCAAGCTCATAGAGACATAGATTAGGATGCTGGTCCCTGGGGCCCAAGGCCTAGGGTGCAGATGTTGGTCAAATGACATGATATCTTACATTGATATAGTGAATAAGTTTTGGAGTTGTACTGTACAACATGGTGACTATAGTGAATAAGTGCACTTGTATACTTTCAAATTTCTAAGAAAGCAGATTTACAGATTCTTACCACAAAAAAT